TAAGAAATGACCTAATTAGGCTTCATTATTTTCTTCGTAACTCAAGAAGTAATTGAGATATTGCAGAACTAATTGTATATTTGAAAAGAGGAAGCCAAAACACATATACACACTAATTTTCATTATAATCCATTAATAAACAAAAAAGTCGATTTTAGAACCAGTGTCTTGCCTTAAGTAGAAGTACTCACACGTCTTGGTAGAACAAGAAAACATTTATCGGTATTGCATAGACAAGCGTGCAAAGTCCTTTTCCATTGTCCGTAGTAGAGCACTCATCTTCGGAACTTGTCTCGGCGTCTCTGTCCCAGATGAGGTCACCTTCCGTGCCATCCAGCTTGTTGGAAATTCCAGATACTTTGAAGCTTTTTTCTACATTATTGAAGGAAACCACACCCTACGCTTTAGGGATCCAGTCACACGCCTCTACAAGGGACGCCCTGTTCAGCCAACCAGTCGGTGTTCGCTGGTGGACATTCGTTGCCATCTACTCGGTGTACGCACGGCAAAATCTGCATTTAAAGGGCCTGTTCACTGAAACATCCAGTGGCTCAAGCATGCCGGTCATACCTCCAGGTATGATGGCCAAATCTGTTTCAGACGCATGAAGGCGTTCTCGCACACCTTCAGTTAGGTGACCCCGAAAGCCATCCAAGACGAGCAGCGATTGCGTGTCGAGGTTCACATGTGGTCGCTTTTCTCAAATGCAAATCAACCAGTCTTTCACCAGTTTATCCGTCATCCATCCTTTCTCTTGTGCTCGAACAAATGTGCCATTAGGGAACAACTCTGCAGGTACACATTGTCATTTAAAAACGACGTTAGGTGGAAGTTTTCGTCCATCCGCTGTGATACAAAGCATGACCTTATATCGTTGTCTCTCGGCACCCGTTGTGAGGACACGGACGGTTTTGGTACCTTTCGCCTCTATTGTCGCATTTTCTGGTGCGTCAAACCAAACCGGCGTTGGGTCCGCGTTGCCTATCTTCGACGGTATTTAGCCGTGGCCTTTCCACATCTTGGTAACAAAGCTCTGGAATGCGAACAGCTTTTCTGAGTGCGAGCAGCTTTCCTTCATACTTTTCTGGTAGACGTTGACACATTGTTGTCTGATGGCGGATGGACAGGTTCTTTCCCTTCATAAAACGCCGAATCCACCCATTGCTGGCTTTGAACAAAGTCGCCGGTGTCTTCTTGCTCCGTGCAATATCGAGCACTTTCGTGCGCAGCATCTCCGTCGAAACCGTGTAGTCATTGCTCTGGGTGCTCGTTACAAATAAAAGGAGCGAAGCTTCCATTTCGGGAAACAGGCTCTGCTTGCCTCGGAAAGTGCACTGTGTTGTCTTGGTCTTCCTTAGTTCATCTTCTTGGGAGCACCACCGGTGTAAACATTTGTCGTCGACACCGAACTTTCGCCCGGCCGCTCTTTTGCTGTTGTCTTGAATAAAGGCAACAAGCTTAAAGTCGGCCGTGTATATTGCATACTTGCCCATCCAGAAGCCTGAAGTGGATGACAGTGGGAAAATGGGGGGTACTTGGGGGGCAAACATAAAGAGATGCACTGTGTCTGGTTTGTGATTGTTTGAGGTAAAGTGAAAGGCGCAAACCGATGGGATAGAGTGCCTCAGTGTTGTTGGCTGCTGCAGCCGAGCGAGCACCATCTACGGTAGTACATAAACAAAAAAAAACATTCTTGAGTTTTTGCATTTCGAACTAAATGGGCGCTTCCAGCCCTTTTAAAATCATAGGTACAGCCTATACACGGGTAATTTTTAAATATATTTTTTCGGCTTTTTTTGTGTTTAAAGTTAAGGGTGCGGCTATTACACGAGTGCGGCCATTACACGCTTATATACGGCAGTCTGCCGTGAAACCTCACGTGATGCTGTGACAGCAACAGCACGCCAGCATTCCTGCTCGCACCTCGGTGCAGCTTAGACAACCATCGTGCCATCTGGGACATGACAGGAACTTTAAGCAGATTTCTTGGATCTTTGTGCTCGGTTTCGTGGGTTTGTAAAAAAAAAACGGGGAGGTGCATCAAATTATGCTAGTGCGAGATTCATGTAGTAGAGGCAGATGGTTTTATGGATCATTCCACTCTTTGCCGTGACTGCTATGTGTTGTTCCTAATACAGATGGCAGTCTCAGCGGTTGCTAGGCCTCTCTGCTTGACCAAATGGGCATTGACCACTTTAACGGCGACACAACCATTGGATTCTCACGTCATCACACAGAAACTAGCACAGACAAAAGCGAATATTGGATTGACTTTACCGTGTAAACCCAGCTAGGTAAGAGCAGAAAAATTACTGTAAGGACCTGGCATCTCTCAGCGTATGTGGGCGTGGCCAATTGCACACGCTGCCATATTGAAAAAAGATAGCTCATCACGCTGTGACGTTCGTGGCACCAATAAAATGAGTGGAATCGATTGGCTGGCGGGATGATAAGAATCTTTTTTTAAGGGGCATTTGCCACTGAATTCTTAGCCCGTCACTGACTATAGATGCTTTTGAAGAGATTGCAGGTTAAAGACGCATATTCACGCCCAAAACAAACCAGGGTTCCATACGCAAATATTGTGAGCTTTGGGGGTTCAACATTTTAAGACAGAATTCTAGAAATCTAAAGCCTCATTAGCTCCTAAATTGGCTTCACAAATATTATGAACATAAAAGGTATCATCCGACTTATGATACATCCAGCTTCTTGCATGGTGAAGCCTGCCTAATATTTATTTGGCTAATTCAGTGAAACAGGTGAGTAGGCACAATAGTGAGAGAAACCGAAGAACAATATTTTATGTCGAACATTTACCAATCATCACATCATCCCTCTATTTTGGTAATCTGTCCGGGATCGAAGCGTCATCACACTGGTTTGTGATTGTGCAATATAAAACGCAGCTCCGGGCAGAGAAGCGACCTTGCTGAAGCGGATTAATCAAAATCCGGGTTTGGTAGGTCAGAAGCATTTTAAATAACAGCTTAGTGTGCAGAAGTGTCATTCTGAAGAATGCCTGTGGCACTCAAACATTCATGCAGTATGTACAGTTCTACTGGAAGTGCAGAGACCTTGTATGTTGGCAGCACTTCCTCTGCAGTAGCAAACACTAAGAGATGGAAAATATTGATCACTCAGGATATAATATTTTGCTCGTGTATTGAGTTGTCAAGAAGTCAAACACATGTGAATAAGAGTACAAAGGCACCTTTACACCAACTCAATTTAACCCCTTAAGTGCCCCTTTTCTTTTTTCGAAAAGTAACCTAAAAGTGCCATATTTTTCTTATTTAGAAGTTTTATTCCTCTAGTAATACAGACAAAATTTCAAAAGTTTATTGCACAAAAATCAGCAGCAGCAAAAAAAAAAAAAAATTGCCAACTAAAGCAAGTGCTGCCATCTATGATCAGCGCCGCAAACTACTTGGACGGGCCTGGCTCGTCCGTGGAATTGCGAAAAAAACCACTGGACGAGCTGAGCTTGTCCATGGCATTTTTAGCCAAAAACAGCTGACGTCCATGGCACTTAAAGGGTTGACTCAATTTTAGAGGACTGGACATTGCTACATTGCTTTGAAGGCAACATGAAACAGAGGCAGAGAGGAACAAGATTATCCTTGTCTCTGATGTGCAGTTATCTCGTCAGGACATCGCATGATCCATCATGTGGTGTGTCATAGTCTGAAGCAACTACTTCTGAGGCTTGGAGCCCTGTGTGTCCAGCCACAGCTTTCCCTATATAGCATAAGCCTGCAAGACCACTGCCAGAATCGGTCACCAAAACTGAGAGAGATAAAGAGCCAGCACCGCCAAACCACAAAATGGAGGCGGCCCTTTTGTTTAGTGTTGTCCAGTTGTTTACAATCCTTCTGAAAAAAATTTTAGATAAAGGAAGGGAGCTTGGGTAGTCTTTTTACCTATGATTTACCCTCCTTTCCCGGTTGCTATCCACTGCCCCTAGCTGTTCCTGCTGTGCTGCTATTAACTGTCAACCTTAAAAGAAAATTAAAAATACAGGGTAAAAAAGGAATGGGGGTTTGACAACAACAACTGGCACTCTGTTGGCACTACCTCTGCTATCGTTTCTCAACATTGCCTTCCTCGCTTCAGGCCATCAAGCAGTTTGTTGTTCTGGCATCGAACTAGCAGGCTTCCCTCGTATAGAGGGGGCTATGGTTCAATCATGACATGCTTGGCTAAGCGCATCATCCGTCTTCAAGAGATTTCCTTCTTTTTTCCATAAGGGGTGCCGGAAAAATGGGCCGTTTTATTTATTTCATGCTGCGGACTATTACAGTGGTTTAACCCGGAAGGACAGAAGGAAAACAGTAGCAATGTCTGTACACTATGCTAAACAAATAACCTATTTGGGTGATGGAATTCAAGAAAGAAGAATAAAAACAATGTTAACCGTAAAAAGAGCCTAGCAGATTCTTATTGAGAAAGCATGACACATATTCATGGCTTGCATGTGACATCATCCGGTGGTCATTCTGGGTCACTCCTACTGCCTAAGCTCGTTATAACAGACCTTGATTTTGATCAAGATTTTGGTCTGTTGTAAAAGGAGTACCGTTGTATGCAGATATGAAGTTTTGTGAATGGTACATAGAGGAAAACCAATTGAACTTCACAAATTGGTATGTTATATCCAAATGCCTGTTTCAACCAGGTCTGTTGTAATGAGCTTACGCTGTAGTTGCTTTTGTAGAGAAAAACAAATTGAGAGGTGCAAAATCTGAGCTGCGGAAAGTTCATGCTCAGCAGCAAGGCCATCACAATGGCGACTGATGGGACGTCGGTGCAAGCCACGTATAACAATGCAAGCATGTATCCAGTCAAATGCGCTGTCATCAATTGAGAACAAAAAAAATTGGCGTGTTTATTTATATGCCTATTCCTGTTCCATGCTTTAGGGATATGAAATGTTTATTTCAAGCTCTAGATAGCCAAAGCAGAAAGCGAATTCCTCCATGGTTTCTTTTATTATGCAGCTGGAAGAGCAGAAGCGGCAAGAGAAGATCAGCAACTGGGAGCAGCTGCAGCAAGGCCTCGGGTCCAAGCTGGGCACCTCTCGCCAGGAAGAGCCCGTGCCCACGAGCAACTTGACCAGGAGGCCCAAGGGAAGCCAGAGCAGCAGCAGCAGCGAGAGACTCAGGGGTGGGGACTATAACCCTCTGATGGGCTCCTCGGGCGGTTCCTCGTACAGGCCAGAGAGGAGGGGCACCAGCCAGGGCGGATGAGGCTAGAGCACGAGGTTTGCTTTTCCCAACGGCGGCCTCGGCACTAGGAGTCTCACACTCGGGGATGATCCTTCACCCAACTTTGCATTCGGTCACCGAGGAAAAAAAAAGACATCCGTTTATGCATTACTTCAATCGATGGCAGTATTGTAAAAGCTATCAGCCATTGTAGCGACTAGAACAGAATGCTGCGGCGGCAGGTTTGCTCGCCAGCCCTCTTGAGCGGATCGGAAATTCACGGCGCTTGGCGGTCTAAAAACAAAGCCGTGGGATTAGATAAAAAAGAAAACATGCGATGAAAATCAGTAATAGATGCACATACTTGTGCATTGACTTGTTTGCTGAACAAGTAGTACAAGTGGAGCACCCTGGGAAACTTAACTCATTCACTTGCACCTGTATGCTTCCAAAACAATGTTCTCTCTGGAACAAGAAAAGTAATTCTGCTACATAGTTAAATTTTATGGCAGGGCGTTACTACAATCACGGTAGCACATGGGATTTTGTGATGTTTCGTTTTGCCAAAGTACTACCGTATATCGAAGTATCATGCTAAGAGGAGGTAGTATGTGTTGCAGTTCTTTCTGTTTGCAGTTTGCATTGTACTAAAGTTTTTTCTTCGGGGTAAAGAAGTTCCCTCGTGTTGAGAGATCCTTGGCTGCGGCTGCTAAAAGCAAACCTCAAAGAAAACAAAGCTGGAATAACTTGCTGTTAAAGTTTGGCGACTGCAGGCTTTCATGCTTTGCAATTGTTGAAACAGTGTGCACCCGCTGCTGGTGCTGGGGTCGCGAGGTATTGACAGCGACATGAAATTGGAGCTGGAACTGGATTCTTTCCAATGGCTCTGGTGGAGAACGGTTATTCCAGTTTCGTATTGTGTACAGCATTGTAGATCGGAGGGTGCAAAAGTGCAATCCGAATAAATCTTTATGCCACATTTATTGTGATGGCTTCGATACATATTTTCTTGCACAATCAATTGAAAACCTTTCTAGGTGTTAGTACAGTAGACTCTCATGAACTCAAACTTCAATAGCTACGAGTTTTGTGTGCATTATCAGAAATTCACCTAAATATGATGCAACATAAAATTATGATTTGCCATATGAATGGCTACAGATACAAAGCAGATATTTTATGTTTCCTCTACATAAGCCTACAGATTATAAGTAAATATGGCACACATGAAACATTTGTGAAATGTATAACATACCGTAAAATCCCGCAAGGGCACCCACCCAAATGAAGAGATAAATGGTGAAAAACATGGGTGGGCTTTTTTTGGGGATGTCACTGCAAAACTTTATCAAAAATTAGTGATAAGCGCCGGGGCACCGGCTACAAACCACGTGACACGGTAACTGACATCGCGGACGCAGCAGATTCAAGTTTCATGGTGCAATAAAGACGCGGGAACCCGCTACAATCTTGCCTGTCACGGAAACTGATATCGCGCGCGCAGATCGCGGAAAAAAAGAAACAAAAAAAACGGGAATACGCTACAAACTTGCATGTCATAGAAGCAAATACCGCAGATCGCGGACGTTGCAGCTAAAAATCAATATCGCATGCGCAGATTGCGGACAAAAACACTGGAACCCTCTACAAACTCGGGAACAGATACCGCAAATCGCGAACGTAGCAGTAGGAACAAGTCGCGTGTTATGCGTGCCGATATCGCGCGTCGATCGCAGACAAAAACGCGTGAACCCGCTCTTAATTCGCTTCTCTAACAGACGGCCGATTGCGCTATTGATGTGTGATTCGTGTCGGACATTGCTTGACGTCCAATGGCAATCGGGGGGTGGGCAATGTTTCAGAATTTTTATGTTACAAATATTTAGCCAGAAAAACGCGATGGGCGATCTCTCGGGGGAGGGCGCTTTTACGTGATTTTAGGGTAGGTTTATTCATCCCTCACAAAAGACAAGACGTGACATCTCAAAACAAAATTAAGTCTGTTCATCAGGCCAAGTAGTTGTCTAATGTGAACTATTAAGCAGGGGACACATGACCGATGAAAAGGGGCTCCGCACAGCCGTTTTCATAGCAACTGGCACGAACGCTGTGACGTGGACGTATACTATGCCTCCAGGTCGCAGCGTCCACGCAAGTTTCTATGGAAATTTTCGTGTGGTGCCAGTTTTCATAGCTCGTGTGTGCCCTGTTTGAGCCCCGGTGAGTGTGCTTCTCACCTAGCACCGGCGCACTGTGGAGAAGCAACACCCGCGAAAGCGAGTTTCGCACCGTAAGTGTTGCCTCTTTGCAGTGCACCGGTGCTCGGAAAGAAGCGCACTCAATGGGGCCGCGAGAACAAAAAAGTATGAATTACAAGAAAACGCAGTTCGAATTAAGCGGCTTATGAATGCATTAAAAACATATTAGGACAACCAAAATGTTGACATTTTTTTTAATTAATCAGAAGTATGAAATATCCACGTTTGAATTATTGCAAGCCTACTATACTATAGAATGTGAATAAAATTTTCATGTCTGCAAAAAATATTGCCAGGAGTACACGCCATATGCAGAGGGCAGCACCAAGTCTTCGTGATACATTATGACAGAAAACAGAAGGCATGCAATATATTGAAGAGTGGAAAAATACTCTAAAGTGATGTGTGGTATAGTTGGAGTTTTGTGTATTCAGGCAGATCCTAGAAAATATAAAAATACATTCACTGACAAAAGTATTGTAGATTTGGATTTTTCTGGGAATCTTCAAATTGGTGGACTGTCAGTTCAAAAACTCGAACCGGTCTATATATCTTTTCTGGGGCGTTCGACAGTGCTTGGGAGTCTCTCTTTTTTTTTTCTGTTTGTGTCATTACAGAAGTATGTAGCATTCTTATTACAATGGCAGAATGCATTTCAATTTGTCTGTCAGGCAGGTGACTTTCTAAACATTAGCTTGCCTTTCTCTGTCATTCTTTTGAGGATTGAACTTTTGCACGAGTTCCCTTCTCATCTGGTTTGGGGGCAGGGGTTTCGAGATTGAGTCAACCTTCTCGGCACCTTCATGCGACGGACAGGAACCGATTTCAGGGATTGCACCAAGAAATGCCGGAGTTCGAAGTCAAGTGACTAACAGCATTGACTTCATTGTAGACAAGTATTGCCAGGTGCAAATTAGCACGGCTAATGGAGGGAGAGTCTTTCTCCGCATTGCTGAGTGCCACAGTTCTAACATTTTTTCAGCAAAACTCTCAAAAGCCCATGCGAGAAGCGCACAACAAATTGCAAGAGCCTCTTTACCTCCGTAACACCTACGTACCATATGACTCTTAAGAGAGGGAGGGGGTAGGTCATCATCTTCATACTTGCTATCTTTGAAGCTTTCGGCCTAACACCACCATTATAATCTCCCTCCTAGGAACCTGACAAGTGGATTATCTACTGCCAAAAGATTGTTTCTTACCGTATTTACACATATGTTGTCGACCTGTTTTCAAATTTTTGAAGATGTGAAGTGAGGGGGTCGATTTATAATCAAACCAAAGTGTTCCACCGCCGACAAAAACGAAACAATCGCAATATCAAGAACACCTTTACTTGTAACGATTTCAGCTGGCTCTGCTTGTGGCGTTGCACCATTCTGTGCGCTCATTTTACAAGGTACAGTAATCCCTCGTTATAACGAAATCGCTTTTTAGGAATTATCGCTTTTATCGAATTTCAGTGTGGTCCTAATCGAAATACACACATTTTGAACCGGATTATTCTACGTGTATCGGCGGCCGAAAGCACGCAAGCCTAGACGGAGGTGCATGGAGACCCTTGCTTTCCCATCCCCTTCTCCACCGAGGCAAATGGCAAACTGGGAATGCGGCAAACAAGAAAACAGAGCCAACGGGTGATTCTGAAGGCAGAGTGGTGCTTCCGATGCTGATGCGCCGACGCTGGCAGGGAGCAGCGTTTACGTTGTGACACTACTCACGGCACCCACAGTCGACGCTGTCCAACTCCTGTCGGAGTCGGGTCAAGGGAGCGATGGAGCCCGGAGGAAATCATCCATTTGGGAGCCCCCTACGCGCGTGCCTTGCAGGCGCACCTGTGGCGTACACGTGCATCGTATGGGAGTGTGGGAGCGTTCTCCAAAAGTTGCATAGATCTGCAAGGTTCAGAAAAGTGGCCGGCCCAAGCCCGAAACCGCCGAAGAATTCTACATTCCGGCATCGGAATGTAGAAGCATGTTGTCCACCATTTTGAAGAACAAGCAGTGCTTATTGGATGGGTTTGAGAAGAGTGTCTTGTGCAAAAGAAAGCGAGCCCGCGACCCGAAGCCAAAGCACGCCAAAAGGCATCGAGTACATTCTGGAGACGCCCTGCTGATCTCACGTGTTCGCCGTAAAATGCACCTCTAAAGATTTTTTTGCTGGTGTGCAATGTGAAGGGGTCGACTTACGATCGAGTCAACTTACAATCGTGTAAATATGACAGTTGTTTTGATGGGGAGTGTGACCGTCCCTTCAAGTGTGGTGAAGGAGGATGAAAAATGTCTAACTCCTTGAGCCAGGGTTACTCAACGTATGACCAGATGCGTTCCGCAAGTAGCTCTTGTGCGGCCCATGGTGCCACTGAAACCTTGGGCATTGAGCCTTGTGTTTCAGGAAAGCTGGAACTAGGTTGGTGCAAAACGAGGGTACAATTTACTCGTCACACTCCATAGAACACCTTTCCGGCATGTATTTATATGCATATTCGATTGCCATCACGCACGGGCACTTGTGGGAAATGTGGAGTTTAGTTATGCTCAGGCAATTAAATAAAATTGAGCATGTGGTTTCGGCATTTGTAGCTTCGTACAAGCTTGTCGATTGCCAACAATGTTTTAACTCTTTTCGAACCACCCCGAAAAAAACATCATCCGAGATACACGATTTGCGAGTCCTGTTACAAAGGCTCCAGTGCATTTCTGGACAAGTTATGGTATCTGGTGGTGGGATTAGACACTCTAGTTTCAGTTTCTTTATATTTCTTTCTTTTCCCGCAAAATAGCGATTTATCATAATCAAAAGCGCAGATAAGGAAGAGTGCTCTGCATTGCAAACATGGTGTCTCCGTCACGTGGCACGCATCCTCAGAAGCGTTCGAGGTGCTGCGATTGAGCATATCTGCCTGAGTAAGTAAGAAAAGTATATCATGTCAACAGATTTTAGTTCCGACAGCAGTAATTTGTCAAATCAACCCTGAACATTGACAACTGCACATCGCAAAGGCTTTTTTTGGTTTTGCTTTTGGTTTTCATGTTGGCTCTCCTTTTTATTTACATGGCGGTGAACAGACAGAAGTGATATGGCAGTTTGTTTATGTTTATAAGTCCCCCCCCCCCCCCCCCCCCTGTTTGCTTCGAATAGATGAGCCCATGACGTCCGCACTAGTTCAAACGCAAGCTACCAGTCAAGCGCTCATCAGAAAAAAACACTCCCTTGCATGGAGTTATTAGCTGAGTGTACATACTGCCAACAAGCACAAGGCTTGCAAAGCGGAGGGACAAAAGAGTAGATGCACGGTCACAAATCTCCATCAACAAGTCACAGCTTGTAGGCGACTACAATGCGTGAATGCTTGGAGTAGACAAATTAAACCAGTTGATCAGATCGTACTACATCCTATGAAGTGCGTCTGGTGGTCGAAGACACTCTCCTTTCACTGCATTGACATTTCGGCTGTCAACAGGTACATTCTTTTTCAAGCACACTGCAAGAAGCACCCGAACATACCTCCTGCCCCTGAACGAGTCACAAGAATGGAAAAGCATTGCAACTGCAAGATGTGTAATGAGGAGTGCAAAATAGACCAATCTCACCAGGAGCTGTGTGACCCCACCGCTGCCTTGGTGCACTCTGGTACCTGCAGTTCTCCCTAGTTTTCCAACCGCAACACTGTGCGTTTTACACCCGGCGTTTGGAAAATTTGCGGGTTAACACAAGACTTAATTGAATGTTTACTCACTGTCCTC